TTTTTTATTAACATCAGTATTTTTAAAACCATTTACTTAATGTTGAATATTTAGGTCATCCATAGATTGGAGCTGTTCTGTATCACAGTACCACAGACACTGGCTGATTTTCATTTGATTCTGGCAAATGCTGTAAGAAGGCAGAGTCTCAGAAATGAAAAGATTCTGAATACCAGCCTGGACTAGGGTTTTATATAGTTTTTATTTTAAATCATTAAAAACATACCCAACCTGACCAGCAGAAACTGGGATCATAAAGACTTTTGTCTTTTCTAAAATTGGTCAACCTCTTAGGCATAGGCTGGTCCTTGTGATTTCTTAAAATCCATGGACTCCTGGTAAGAGGTATGAGACAATTCTAGAAGTGGAACATTCCATCTCTTGCACTTTTTTTTTTTTGCAAAGAATCATGAATTGAATCACATCTATAAATCCTGATGGAAAACTGCTGTCTCTCATAGATCAAAAAGTACAAGTGGGACTGGGCACTGAACTCAGTGGCAGAACTGTTGTTTAGCCTGTGTGAGGGCCTGGGTCCAGCCCTTGGAGACACACACGTGCTCATGCATGGTGCACAGTGCCATCCAAATGTCAGAATCCATCACGTTTCTCTGGCATTTCAGCATTGGGCAGTTTGGTGAGCTGCCACCCATCCTCAGCTGTATAAAGATCATTAAGTCTTACGTGCCTGGGGAAGTCCCTGAGCACATTAAGACTGATGTATCTTCAGTCCATCTGTCATTTGTCATCATCATTACTTTGTTTTGAATTTTGAGGCAGGGTTTCACTACATAGGCTGATGTTGAATATACAGTGTAGCCCAGGCTGGCCTCAAACTCCTGGGTACTGGGACTACAAGTGCGTGGCATCATACCCAGCTGTCATTTGTCTCTGAGCACCCAAGGATCTTCACTTACAGGGCACACAGCCTTGACATTTCCCAGTGCAGCTTTCCTTTTGTATTTATGTTTAAAAATAATTTAAGTTTCTCTGTGACAGTACTGAATAGTGTAGATTACATGTTATAAAAGTTTCATACACGGGGTTGGTGAGATGGCTCAGTGGTCTAAAGCACCTACTAAGAACAAGCTTAGCAAAGCACAGGGACCTCGGTTCAATCCCCAGCACCACATGCCAGCCAGTCCCGCCCCCTGGTGGGCTGAGCTGGCCACACACACACACACACACACACACACACACAAATTAAAAAAAAAAGTTTCATACATAACTGTAGATGCTAAGCCTCATTTGCAGCACAGAGAAGGAACTTTAGGATGTGCATAAGGCTGAAGCAGACCATGCTGATGAGCTGTGGTTACAGAGGCAGCCTATTTGTTTTGTTTTTGAAGAGCAGTCACCTGGCCTCAGCTCCTCAGCATAGACTTGAACTTCTTTCTGAGCCTTCAAAGTCAGTGCTTCCTGATCTCTGTGGACTAGAAAAGATTCATAGTATTTTGTTTGATAGATGATATGTTCTCTAAGAGGCTAGATGCCATACCAAGTTATTTTCACTGGCTGAAGACATGGTAAATGAGGGAATCTTTCTTGTGATTATTTTGTATGGAGGACCTGCATGATCATTTGTCATATTTTACTGGCATTTACCCACGCTGTAAGAGTGAGTTGCAGGCTGAGTTTCGGACTGTGTCCAGTTCTGAAAGTCCACTAAGCAACAATCAGAACTAGGATTTCTTTAGACTTGAGTTCTGAATGGGTCTGGATACAGTGTAGAGATAGCTTCGAGCAGTGGCTTACACACTTTCTTGGTCCAAGCATCTTTTTACATTCTTAAATACTACCTAACCCTGAGACAGAAGGTTAAAGATCTGTATTCTGTGGCTGAACATCCTCTGCCAGTTAAGCAGTGCTGTGTTAGTTACTTTTCTTTCATTACTGAGACAAAATACCTGACATGCGAAATTAAGGAAGGAAAGGTTTATTCAGCTCACCACTTTGTGGAGGTTTTAGCCCATAATCAGCTGGCTCCAAGGCAGGGTGGCATGGCAGAGGGCAACAGTCGAAGGCGTCAGAAGACAGCAAAGCACAAGACCCAAGGGCGAGGGCAGGCCTCTTTCCCTCCCTCATACTGTGTACCGGCTCTCCACTGCAGCTGGGCCCTTTGCCTGCTGAGCTCTCTGAGCTCTCCTCTTGCACAGGATAAGGATGTTTACAAAGTAAGGACCTGTCCCCTACTGAGTCAATTAGTTAAACTGTTAGACTTCTCAGGTTGACACAGTGTATCAACCATTACAAAGGCTAAGGCAGGTGGGGAGGCAGCTGGCAGTCCTGGGTGAACCACTATCACGCTTGGCCAATCTCAACAACTCCCCAGCTTTACTTTTTTAGTATAGTTTAGGCTTGAACTCATTATGTAGCTTGGTGCCTTGACCTTGGAGCAGTCTCCCTGCCTCTGCCTCTTGAGTACAGGGATTACAGGCATACTCCACCACGCCCGCCTTCCAGCTTTACGTTTGGGAAGGTAGAGTACAGAAAGGTCATGTTGTCACAGACTAAATGTTCCTTTAGAAAGCCCCAGTTGGAATGGTGGCTCGAGGATGTGCCTCAGTAATGTTTGGGTCGCAGTGAATAGGACTTGCACACAGGTTAGGGAAGGGAATACCTGACAGGCCCGGAGTACCAAGGTCGAGGCCCTGCCCTCCTCTGAGCTGCCACACTGCACAATGCCAGGGAACCTCGTTCGGGTCCTGACGTACATGATGGTGTCCCTGGTGTGCACCTACTTGGCCATTCTAGCTCAGCATGTAAATGCTTGTGTCACTGTTGTCATCATAGAACCCAAGCTTCTTGAGGTCAGGGACAGTGTCCTGCACATCTTTGGGTTCCTGGAGTGTGCAGCCAAGACCTAGAGGCACGGTGGGCACAGAACCGCTCATTTTCTGTGAATGCTTGGCATCCTCCCCGTGGCTGTAGTTCCCACAGTCAGAGCACCAGACCCAGAAATGATGCCTTCTCACCAGCGCTGCACATACCAGGGGCTGTAACAACACCCTTTGCCTCCCATAGGTGTTGCGCTTCAGTCGTGGGCGAAGCCTGAGGAAAAGGAGAGAGAGGCTCAAGGAGGAGAGGAGGGCGCAGTCTGTCCCGAGAGAGGAGGTTGCACAAAGCAAGGTGGGGGTCCTCCTGCCCGCCCGGCCGTGGCCGCCCACTTGTCTGTGTCCTCCTGCCTTCTTCTGCTGGGCTCACCGGGCCCTCATGTCCTCCTCGGCCTCTCCTTCCCCCTGGGGCTCCTCAAACTGTCACTAGCCTTCCCCTCCCACGTGGCATCCTCTCTCCACTCTGCTGGGATTCTGGATCCTGTGTCTTGACATGTGGCACAGGATCATGCCTGGTGTGTGGCCAGCACTCTGGGTGGGCATGTGTAGCCCCATATTTGTGGCCTGGGCACATCACTGCCTCTCTGACACTGCCCTTCATTGTGTAGAATAGGAGTTCTCTAAGTGCAGGACTGGTATCACCCAGGACCTTGCTACAAATGCAGGTTCTCAGGCCTCCTTGTCCATGGATGAGCAGCTCTGGATGGAGTCCAGCTTCTGGGGTTGAAAAGCCCTGTAGTTGTTCTTGCTGAGAACCCCTGTTATAGGCTGCTCCCTGACTTAGAGAAGAGTGGCCCAGCCTTTCCAGGCCTTTCAGGAGGACAGCAAGGTGACTTGTGGCCCAGCAGAGGTTATCACCAAGTACTTGCTCTTCTCTTTGCCTTGACCTAAAAGATGCTTCTGCCACTTAGGACCCAGTAGACAGAGGCTCGGTGAAGAGCAGCGAAATGTTAACATTTTCAGTGTAAAGGCCTTGTGACTCTAGCTCCTCTTTGTGAATTGTACATACTAAACTGTAAAAGTTCTCCCAAGAACGAGAAATATGATTTTTTTATTTCCGAGTATTTTTACTCTCTACCATAAATTGTGGGGGGTCCAAGTTCAAAGAATGAAAGAGGTTGTATTTTTGTTGAAATACAAAAGACCAACAATCTAATATTTTATTGTGTATGGTAGGTTTCTGGAATTCTAGTATTAGACCCAAGAATATATTTCATTTGAGACTGAATAAAAGCCAAATAGGAAAAGCGTTACATATTGACCACCAGGCAGTGTTCCCTGTGTCTGAAATTTGTCACTAGTGAAGAGTCCTATGGGCCTCATTGGACAGAGTTTTGCAAGCGTACAACTTTACTGCGTGGTGAGAAAAGCTGAAGGAGCAGTGTAACAGGCTTGTGGGCTTTCTTCTGTAGGGAAGTGTCTCAGCAGGAGACACCCCCAGCAGCGAACAGGCTGAGGTCAGAAAAGAGGAAGCCAGAGGAGATTTTCTGTCCGCCTCCCCAGAGCCCAGAGTGAAGGATAATCGGAGGAGAAGGTCAAAGCCCAAGGTCAGGAGGCTGAGGAAAGCAGCTGGGAGGGAGGGAGGGTGGCAGAGGATCCAGGGACAGGTCATGCTCATTGGCTGAGAAGCCTCTCAGCTGGCTGGGTGGTTTGGGTCCAGAACATAGAACTTACACGGGACAGAACTCAGCCACAAGGTGGGCATGCGGTGTGGGCTTGGGGTGGATGCCACAGGGAGATGGGAGCCACTGGCTGGGCATGCACTCGTGCAGATGTTGCAGGGCTCAGGGGTGTTGGTGCTCTGTCTCACAGGTGTCGGCACTGTCTGACCTCACCCCACCCGCAGACCAGCAGCCCGGACCCCAGAAAGACTCACACACTCATCACCCCAAGAAGAAAAGCAGGCATCGGTGCTTGTCCCCACCCCCACCCCATGAGTTCAGAGCGTACCAGCTGTACACGCTGTACCGGGGCAAGGATGGGAAAGTGATGCAGGTACTGTGGGGCCTGTCCGGAAGGGGCCAGAGCCCAGCAGTAGGGCTATCTGTGGAGCTTAATTCTGGGGGGCTCGGGGTACCTCAGGCCTTGACCTAAAAGATGCTTCTGCCACTTAGGACCCAGAGGCTCGGTGACACAACCTCACCATTCTCGCCATTTGCAGATGACTAGGGGATAGAAGCAGCTTGAGGACAGAGGGACCGTGCCTTACCTCGGAATGTTTTTAGTGCCTATTGGGTCCAAAGCGCAGGCTGTAGGTCATTTCAAGTGAGGACAGGATGGGTGTGTCCTCCATTGCCTATATCTCCTGATACTCTGCCAGGCACATAGTGGCTGCTTAAAGCATTGGTGGAAAGAATGAAGTGTAGTTTGATTACTTCTTGTTTTCCCTCTTAGGCACCAATAAATGGTTGTCGATGTGAACCTCTAATCAATAAGCTGGAGAACCAACTGGAGGCCACTGTGGAAGAGATAAAAGCAGAGCTGGGATCAGTTCAGGATAAAATGAATACAAAGCTGGGACATATGGAGAGTAAGACCCAGCATCAGGTAAGTAGCCTCTTGAACATCTTGGATTCTAACATGAGATCAAAGACTTCGGGGTGTGGGCTGGGCTGTAGCTTGGAGGTAGAGCACTTGCCTAACATGCACAAGGCCTAGGGCTCCACCCATAGTGCATGTACACACACACACACACACACACACGCACACACGCACACACACGCACACACACCCCTTCCTCCAAGAGAGATGGGGGAGTGGCTGTAGCATACCTTCTGCCTCAGGATGTCCAGTGAGCTGGCAGGGAGGAAACTATATATGGAATTTTTGTGAAGTCCATTTATTTAGACTTTTTAAGAAAGGTTTTAAATTGCTTCTGATTATACAAATAGTAAGGTTTTTTAAAAATTTTATTGAGAAGCAAATAGCAATGAGACAATTGCAAAACATTAATAGGACAGTTTCAATAATTAATACACTGTACGTTATCTTCTTAGTGGTTATCCATAGCACAAGATGCAGACATGATATCCTGTCCAAACACTATTAGTACAAATCTTTCTTCTCATTGAATTAAGCAAAAGTAGCTGTATATCTATCCTAACTATTCTGTATATACAGATAGAAAATGGTCCTTCCTTTGTATCCCCCTTTTTGTTTAGTCCTGTCAGAGATGGGTATTCCATTGCCATCTAAATACTGCAGGTGGGTGAATTCAGGAAAATAATTCAACACAGTCCAGCAGTCCACAATAGTAGTGGATTATCCGCAGGACTGGCAATGTCAGAACTTGTTGACTTGGGCCTTTCACAGCTCAGCATACTAATATGGCTTTACTTTATATACCTCGTTTTTATACTTTTCTGCTGGATGGTTAAGACCAAAACAAAGCAAGACCTATATAACAAGAAATGTAACTTTTGTACCTGATAAGGTCAGTCAAGTACCCTCAGGATTTATCCTGTAACCCTGTACCACAGTTTGCAGATCCTTTGTCAGTGTTGGCCATGTGGATGAGTCATGGCCATTGCTTGATCAATTTGCTCTCTGTGAAAGCCTGAGAGAAGGTTTTCTTTCCATGTGACTCTCCCTAGGCACACTCTATGTCATCGATCATGTTGCTCTGTGGCCCCCATAATCTCCTTGTTCAGAAAATTTGGGACACAACTGAGTTACATGATGTTAGAGTATAGGTTTTCCTATGTCCTGAGTCTTCACTGACCTTCAAAGGCTAGGGTCAAAATGTTGGCTATCCTTGCAGCCCTTCTATCTGCAAACTTAGGTTGTTAACCCTCCAGAAGAGAATCTTATTATTACCCTGCAACATATGCAGTTGGGTTTAACCTCACTGTCTGAATATCAAACATCCTAGGCATAACATGGAACAGGTACTTTCCATCAAGTATTGATATGTTAAACTTTAAGTCCCTACAGAACATGGAGAAAAAATTTAAAAAATGAAAAAAATTTAAAAAATATGAATAAACAATTACATATTTTCACACAGAAATCTAGAAATCCAACCATACACAGCATTGTAGCAGGACATGCAAGGGCCTGAGTTCAATCCCCAGTTTCGCTAAATAGTAAGTTTTAGATCCCTCAAAAAAGGTAAAAATTGGAAGAAAAATAACCCATGAACCTATATGATAAAAAAACTTTGAATGTTGAGGTTTTACAGGCTTTTCACATGTCAGCATGCTCTACACCCTTCCTGGTTGCCCATGCAATTAAGGCAAAAGTCTTTTCTTTTACAGTTTATTTGGAAAATTGTCAAGCTTACAAAATAAGAATAAAATCATGGCCGTGTTGCTGTATGTGCTTCATCTCTCTAACTTCCATTCTTTTTTCCTCTTGAACTGTGTGAGATTTAGTTGCAGATGGCTTTCATTACACCAGGGTACCCTGAGAGTAGAGACTGTCTCCTTCCCTGCCAAACACTCTCGACATACCCAAGAAACTAAAAATACTTGTGCAGTATCCAGTCTGTATTCAGAGTCTCTCAGTTGTTCCCCAGTGTTTTTAATAACTGGGTTTGTTTTTTTTTTTACGGAACCAGGGATTGAACTCAGGCCCTTGTGCTTGCCAGGGAAGCGCTTATTCCACTGAGCCATCTCCCTGGCCCCATAACTGGGTTTTTAATCCTGTTCTAGGCATGGTAAAGATTTTTTGTGTATTTGACTGTAATCTGGAACAATCCCTGATTCCTGCTTCTACAGTTTTCTGTCTACATTATTAACCCTTTCATACATAAAGATCAATTTTTTTACAGATGATCTATATTCTGGATTTGCCTGATACTTTCATTTGTGTGTGTTGTTGTTTTTTAAGATAGGATCTCCATATGTAGTTCAGACTGGCCTTGAACTTGTAGCGCTCGTCCTGCCTCAGCCTCCCAAGTGCTGGGATTACAGGCATGTGCCACCACACCTGGCTGTTATTTTAACTGTCCATGTCTCACTATCCCTGTAAAATGCAAGTTAGGTGTAGAATAGTAGTTCTTAAGGTGTAATCTGTGGACCCAGCAGCATCTTCTATGGATTTGGAGAGCTGGGAGTGGGAGTTGCAACTTTCTTGGTTCTCATTAAAAATTGAATTTATTTTTTATTAGTGAAGTTTGCAGTGTGTAATGTTCACATGCCTTGTGGGAGTTGGTACATGTGCGTAACACATCTCCGTACTCTGCTTCCCTTCTCCATCCCTTGATCTCCTTCCCATTTGAGAAAGATCTATCTCTTTTTTCATATAAGGGAAACTGCAGTATTTAAGCTTGTGTGTCGGATTTATTTCACATTACCATTACAGTCTCGTGTATCCATTTTCTTGCAAATAATTCACGTTTTATCCTATACTACAGAATAGTCCTCAATTGTGTGTAAATACAACATTTTCTTTTTCATTCATCTACTGGTAGACATGTAGGCCACCTCCAAGATTTAGGGATTAGGAGTTGTGCTGCTATAAACATGGTTTTGCATGCATCACAATAATGTGATGGCTTTTAACTCTTTGGGGAAGGTACCTAGAAGTGGAATGGCTGAGTTGAATGGAATTTTTCCTTTGTTTTTTGCATGATCTTCATACAGATTTCCATAGTGCTTGTAGCAATTTACACTCCCACCAATGTAGAAGGTTCATTTTCCCCACAGCCTCACTGGTGTTCGCTATTGGATTTCTTGACAGTAGTTATTTTGTCTAAGGTAAGATGGAATCCAAGTGCCATCGCAATGTGCATTTCTTTAATGGCCAGCAATGTTAAACTCTTTTTCATGTGTTTATTGGCCATTTGTACTTCTGACAAGTATCCATTTGTTTACTTACTCATTTTTTGATTGAGTTTTTTATTTCAGTAGGTCTAAGATTTTTTTTAGTTCTTTATATAGTCTAGATATTGTTTATACATTCTGTAGGTTGTATTTTCACTCTGTTGCTTCTTTTGCTATGTACAAGCTTTTTAATTTAATAAGATCCCACTTGCTGGTTCTTGGTTCTAGTCCTGTGCATCTGGGGTTCTGTTAAGAATGTCCTTGCCTATGCCTGGAACTCCTGGAGTGTTACCTTTTCCAGCAGGTTGATTCTGTTTTAACAGCTCTTGATCCATTTTGATTATAATTTTTTAAAAAAACATTATTTGTGTGTGTGTGTGTGTGGCCAGCTCAGCCCACCAGGAGGCAGGGCTGGCTGGCATGTGGTGCTGGGGGATTGAACCGTGGTCCCTGTGCTTTGCTAAGCTTGTTCTAAGTAGGTGCTTTAGACCACTGAGCCATCTTACCAGCCCTTGATAATTTAGTGCATGGTTTGAGATGGCTTCTGCATTCAGTCTTTTTTTTTTAAATTTTTTATTTATTTGTGTGTGTGTGTGTGTGTGTGTGTGTGTGGCCAGCACAGCCCACCAGGGGGCGGGACTGGCTGGCATATGGTGCTGGGGGATTGAACCGTGGTCCCTGTGCTTTGCTAAGCTTGTTCTAAGTAGGTGCTTTTAGACCACTGAGCCATCTCACCAGCCCTGCATTCAGTCTTCTGCATGTGAGTAGCCAGTTTCCCCAGCATCACTTATTAGTTTGTCTGAATTGAATCACACTTAAGAGTAAAATTCTTTACGTGCAAGGTCCTGAGTTCAATCCCCGTGGGGGCCTGCTGGTTAGCTCAGTTGTTTAAGCGCCTGCTTATGCAAATGCAGTCAGGTGCAGGATACCATGGTTCAATCCCCAGACCCACTCTTAAGGCAGCCTGAGCCAGCCAACAAAAAATTCTGAGTTCAATCTCCGGTACCACCAAAAAAAAAAAAAGAGTAAAATTCTGGCTGCAGTCCATGTTTTAACAGGACCTCCAGGTGGTGCTTTTGTGTGCTAACGCTTGAGAAGTGGTCTAGAAGGTTATTTAGGTTTAGGTATTCTGGCAAGAATATGTTATAGTTAATGACATAAACTTTAAATTGCCTTACATGTACAAGTACACAATGTCAGGATGTCTCTTTATTAATGATACTGTTTGATCACATAGCTTAGCTGGTAACCTTCATATTCCTCCATTATAAAGGTTAATTTTCCTTTTGCAGTTAATACAAGGAATGATCAAATGTTTGAATTTTTAAAAGTTATTACAGTAAAAGATACATTGCTATGAACCCCCTTCCAAATACTCTCTTATTTCAAACACCCTTATTCTGTCCTCCTTGCCACCTTTTGGGGCAGTTCTGGAAGAAGTGCTCTGCAGGTGTCTTCATGAGACGTGATCAAAATCCAGTGAATGCAGCTGCCAGTAAAGCAGGTCTGTGAGCATCATAGTGTGTCTTCATTCACCTTACTCACTAGATCTGGCACTGTGCACCTTCTGGCTCGTCTTCAAAGTTAAAATGGTAACAAAAGGTCAACATTTTGAATCAATTTAGGACATCGAGGCAACCATGACAATGCAACTAATTTATACTTTATCTTAGGAAGATTATGCCACCATCCATAATACTCAAGATGGCCACAACAGTGCAATCAAAGACACCCAACAGAAGACTTTCAGGGCTGCTTCAGAAAGTGGCAGGAATGATAGGATGACAGTATTTGAGGTGAAGGGGAGTATTTTGAGGGAGGACTAATGGAACTGTGTCCTTTGCTGTAATAATTTTATTTCAACACCATATTTATTAATCACATCATGTAATAAATGTGTGATGGGTAAGATTTTTCAGTACAAAAATACTTTACAGAAATGTGCAAAATAATACATGCACATTGGAAAATCATATCACAGAAATATGCATCTTAGTGACAGTGTTAAAAGCCTCCCCACCTCCTATAGGAGATGTTATACAGACTGGATTCCCCAAGAGGTCACTTTTAAACAAAAAAGGAACCTTGCTGGCTTTCTGGCAGCTTGTTTTATCATGCAGAACACTGTGTTTTGTTTTGTTTTGTTTTGTTTTGTTTTGTTTTGTTTTGTTTTTTGGTGGAACCAGGGATTGAACTCAGGTCTTGCGCTTGGGGGCACGTGCTTATTCCACTGAGCCATCTCCCCAGCCCCAACATTGTGGTTTTTGATTGTGTACTGTGGAAAACAGTATTTTGTTTCCTGCTTTTCTCATGTTGTGAGCATTTTCTCATGTCCTGAGAAACATAATATCCTAGCATATAAATACAACATAACTTACTTTTATACTATGGTTCATATTTATGTCATAAGCGTCTAACTACTTGGATAGGGAAATTGAATTAGGGATTTTGCTCAGAATTAGGATAACAGAAGCCAAGGTTAATGTTAAGGCTCTTGATAAATGTTGGTTAGTTACGTAATAGAAAACCTGTACCAATTTTTATCCTACCCAGCAGTGTCTGAGTTTCATGTCTGTTTACTAAAAGTTGAACATTTTAAAATGTATTTGGTGTTTACATTTTGTGGAAAGGCTGTTTTCAGAATCTTAGGGCTATGATAAATTAGCTAAGGTTGTTTTAGCTAGCTTCTCTCACATAAGGCTAGACTGATACTAGGTATCCCCATAGCCTCCCTTCACTTCAAACAAGGTGAAAGACTGGGGTGTAAGGTCAGTCCTTTTCTACATGGCATAGCCAGAACTTTGGCCCCGCAGAAGTCAGATCCTGAGGCCTGGGCCAATGCACTGTAACCTGGGAACAAAGCCCCGTATCTGCACAACTGCTGATGGCAGAGTTGCCTCCCCGGGAAGAGGATGAGGAGCCAGAGGGATGGATAGGCTGTCCTAAGAAACAGTGAGTGATATCACTGATGTAGGACAGAGGAGCTGAAACATGAGGTGCGCCCCACAGCCCCAGGACTGGTGTTGCTCTTTTAATTATCTGAACATCTGTATGTGGAGTGCCATATATGTTGCCAACAGGAGAGGAATGCACCAGTGAGTTGCCATGGGTGGGCCCCTGCTAACAGTAGTTCCAGTCTCTTCCTTGGACAATGACAAAAACAGTGCTGTTAGGGCCTCCAAGAAACATCAGAATGGAGGGAGGCTCTGAAGGGTATGACTAACAATAATAACCACTTGATGTGTTAAGCGGTTCCTTAGTCTTCCCACAATCTTTTGTACACATGCTTTGGCTGCTTGCTGTATAGCACCAAAAATCCCTGCTTGCTGAGTATTCTGCTCATTTCATTACCCTTTGGGCATCTGTTCATGTTTGCATAATTATGTGAGTAAGGGCAGAGTAAGGCAATAGCCCCGTATTTTAGAGGTAGTTTTTCCTAATAGTCTTGAAAATAATATTCTAAGGCTTAGAAAATTCACATTTGCCTACAAGGCCTGCATTGCTCAAGTTGTATACTTACTGTCTTCATGGTCTCTTAAATCCATTAGGACTTTGAAAACGAGAAAAAGAAGGAACATTGCCCTTAGAGAAATACGCACAGGAATTCGAAAAGCTAGTGTTCTATGAACACTGTGTGAAAAACAGTGAGACGTTGGCTTGCTTGTGCATTTTGTGGGCTCTGGTCTGAATACCTGAGGCTGCTCACAAGTGGAGAGATGGAGGCCCATCCTATATCATCTCTGTGCGCTCTGTGCCCCTCCAATCCTAGATGCGTGTGTTGGACAAGCTGATGGCTGAGCGACTCTCGGCAGAAAGGACAGAGTGCCTGAGCCGCCTACAGCAGCACTCAGATGCTGAGAAGCAGGAGGGAGAGAGACGGCAGGTAAAAGTCGGGAGCTGTCAGCTTTCATTCAGGATTTGTGTGTCCTCTGATTTAGAAGGTTCACACCTCTGACACAAAACACTGAGGTTCCCTCCCAAAGTGTTTCCCAGCTGGCTGGTCTGTGTGTTGCTGAGTATGCTGGCAGTCAGTGGAGACAGCACGACTGGAACAAGGCCATCCTGAGTCAGCACCACATGTTCGGCATTCACTGGCAGGGTTGCCTGTCTAACCTGAGAGGGGTCCTGCCCGGAAGGCATTTTCCCAGAAACACAAGATGTGGGGTGTTTCTGAGTGTGCAAGAACTTATACTCCTAAGCAGCCAGAAATATTTGATTTGGAAGATTCTCTTGATGAAGATTATAGATAGCTCATGATCTAGGTGCTAGGTGTGGATTATAGGTGAATGGCTAATCTATAACTTCTAGGTTTATCAAAATGGGTAACCTCAGTTAGCAAAATTCAAAAGGGTCTTAATACTTTGATTCATAATCTTAATACTTTTAACTCGTCATCAAATTCACTTGATTTTTCTGTGTACTGATTACTTATTTTAGATATCCTTGGTGGATGAGTTAAAAACTTGGTGCATGTTGAAGATTCAGAATCTGGAGCTGAAGCTTTCTGGAGACCCTAGGGCCTCCAGGGCTAAATCTACACCATCTACTTGTGAATCCTCTACAGGTAACCCACGTACAGAATGCCTCTCTGCCTAAAAGTAATGGAGCCCCCAGATCTTGTTCTCCCCACCTCTGAAGGCCAGGGCTGGAAGTGTTGGACTGAGGAGTGAGCCCTAGCGGGAAATGAACCGTTGTGCTCACAATTACATATTCAGTTCCCACACAATAAAAAAGGATGTCATTTCAGTGCTCAAACATTTGCACGCAGGAGGAATACAACTGTTGGTCAGTAATAACTGTGTGTCAGGTAGTGTTGGTGGGCTTCGAGTGGAACCCAGAGGAGGTTTTCTCCCTTTCTGCTGTGCTTTTCCCCATCCCTATCCTCTCGAGTGGCCTTTTGTCCAACTATGCAAAGTCTCATTAAATGGCAGTTCATGTACTGAACTTGCCCCAGGTGCAAGAGATACTGCAACCAAACAACTTTCTATCAGCCACTAGTGGTTACTCCAAATGGTTATTTCTTTGATTGGTACTGGGACTGAACCCAGGACCTTTGCAGTGAACTATGTCCCCAACCCCTTGCTAAGTCACTGTGTTGCCCAGGTAGGACTTAAACTTATGACCCTCCTGCCTCAACCTCCCAGACTGTGATGTGTTTTCCACCATGGCTGACTCCATGGTGATAACTCTGAGGCCACCCATAGCCTTGATAGCTAAGCTCACAGTAGCACTGCAATATATAAAATGTTTTGTGCTGTCACGGCCATTTCTGCAAACAGCTTTATCTTGTCTGTGCTAACACTGAGAAACATCCTAGCAGTTTTCAGGTTAGGCCAAGTCATAGGGCTTGTCATGGAGCTGTGGGTACATGGAACAGGACTACTTTCCAAAAGGAAGCCTGGGATGAGGGACTAGCACACAGATAATATAGAATTTAGAGAATAAGATTATTTTTCTAATAGAAGAATGTTCATTCTGTTTTGATTTTTTTTGTTGTTATTGTTCGTTCTAAGACACATATTGTTGAGTTGTCATCCTTACATATCAGAAAATAAGACCTAAAGCCTTCTAAGGTAGAACTGAGAAACAAAATGAAAGTGTGGTGAATTTTTGGCTTAGATGTGACCAGTGTAGCTAAGACAGAATTCATGAAATGAAAGTTCCAGGGCCGTGGAGATAGTTCAGTAGAATAAGTGCTTGCCTGGCAAGCACAAGGGCCTGAGTTCAATCCCTGGTTCCGCAAAAAACAAAAACAAAAACAAAAAAAACCCCGACAAGCCAAAGGGTAATCTTGGGAGATAAAAGAAGGAAGGAGGGACAAAAAGGCAAAGAAAACCAGAGAGAATATGCTGATGGTTTATAGGATACCCAGGTCTCTCAAACATCACCCCGTGGCCACCTGGTTGTGAATGTGGGTTTGCTCTGATGTCTGTTTTCCTTCTGAAACCAGGTGTAGATCAATCAGTGGTGACTGCGGGCCCAGCTGCAGCCTCTGACAACTCTTCACAAGTGGTGAGGCCCAAAGAAAAGGTCCCCAACGCCACTGCTACCCACAGACTCCAGCAGGAGCTGTCCTCCTCTGACTGTACAGGATCCCGACTGAGGAATGTTAAGGTCCAGACGGCCCAGCTACCCTCGAATGAGGCAGCCAGATGTGACCAGGCTGGGCCATGTGTCAACAGAGGCACTCAAACCAAGAAGTCTGGGAAGAGTGGGCAGACAAGGCATCGGGCCCAGCAGCCCAGTGGCACTGGTGGGCAGGCAGCAGCCAGCAGCGAGCAGACTGCTCCTCACATCCGCAACACTTCTCAGGCCCTGGAGCTCACCCAGTATTTTTTTGAAGCTGTTTCTACGCAGATGGAAAAGTGGTATGAAAGGAAGATTGAAGAAGCACGAAGTCAAGCCAATCAGAAAGCCCAGCAAGACAAGGCCACACTGCAGGAGCACATTAAAAGTTTAGAAGAGGAACTTGCTAAACTGAGGACTAAGGTACAGAAGGAAAATTAGGACGTGGAGAAAAGAGAATTATTGAGGATTTCTAGCCTTGCAACTACAGAGTAGCAACGGCTAAGAAGCTGACTGTTGTACATGTAACAGATTTGCTTTTAAAAAAAGTCACTGATTTCTAAAATGTGCCAGAGACATGCTTCATATACCCTGAAGTTACAGAGAAGAGACTTCAACAATTAAGCTGAAACCAGGGGAAAGTTGGTCTTTCGGGTTTCAATACAAACCCTAAATCTCAGTCCAGGGTCATCTGAAAGTCAAAAGCTCAGATTAAGTAAACCATGTCAGAAGCAGAATGATGCATAACCCTAAACTAAAAATTCAAGATGTGTGAAATTTAAGTCAAAAGCAAGAAAATTACTTGTAAACTCAGTGAGTCATTTGCATAAATACACCTGCTGTGCCTAGGCAAAAGCGTCTTTGGAAGAGGTGCTCAGCCAGCACCTACCCTCCCCCACGCTAATCCTCAAAATGGTGAGGTTCTGATCAGGTAAAAATTTACCAAACACATTCTGGGGGGGACAGAGATTTTCATGATGTCATAAGATCCAGTATATCTTAGTTTTTTGAAATGCCAAGAGAGTATTTAAATGCCAAGTAACGACTGGCTGACAGGACCAGAAATGTTAATGAGCTCAAATGAGAAAATTTCAAATGACTGAATCATGGTTTTTATATTTTCAGCTAAAAAAAAAAAAAAATTAATCATAGCAGATTAACAGAAAGAGCATTCATGTAACACATACCTGAAACTTCTATAATGCACTCATAAACCTAATTAACTTAGAGAACCTTTCTGAATGAGATCTAATAAAA